AATTTTCTTTTCATCCCCCCCCCCCCGCCCCTTGAGGGGCTGAGAAATAGTCCTTGCTGCCCTGCAATGTTCCCATGTAAGCAACTGCCTGCTCTATTTCTAAGGTTGGTCTTGGCACGCTTAACAAAATGATGGACTTTGAATACCATACAGCTACATACTATTTTGTTTTTTATACTATAAAGAATTTATTTCCAAAGTATGGAATAAGTTATGAGATAAGGTTTCTATTTTTCTATATAGTGAAATAAATGATAGAAAAAATATTTGGGGAAGGAGAAATAACAGTATGCTTTCATTTATGCAATTTTTACATAGCCAAACAATTGCCTGGCATTTTCTCCCCTTAACTGAATTTGAGAGAAATATTAAAGTCTTCCTAATAGCCAGAATGACAGAACTCTCTTGCAGTACTTGGTATACAATTTACAGGTCATTTTGTTTATTATATACCAATTAATTTCAAAGATAAAAGGGAGCCAACTATATTATAATGAAAATTGCTAAGAAAAGCTGATCCTCCATTTTTAATTGTTTTATATCTCTTTATGATCCAAGGTAAAAAAACTGATAAAATTCATTGCTCAGATTAATACCAAGCACACATATGCCTGCTAATGCATATCTATCAAAAATATTTAATGTCACCTTTATTTTATAGAAATATTCACAGCTGACTTTCTCATAGTGACATTCTAGAGGTATCCTCTGAGAGCAATTATATATAGAAGAATCTTCCAGAAGTTCTAACAAAATGGTACCATTACATTAACAAAACAACAAAACTGGTAAGTCTCAGACTGCTAACTATAAAATGCCTTAAAGAATTCAAGCTTAAGCAGTAAAATCTTGAAAAAATAGGTCTTATAAAAAAAACCATTATTTATACCAAATTCCATTTTTCACTTTTCTGATGGCTATAGCTCTTATTTTAGTTGGGCATAAAAATAATTTTGATTACAAAGGCAATAAAACACCCCAGGCAGGGGCTAAAGGCAAGAAATCTTCTAAAGGAGAAAATAATTATTTGTTCTGGATTGTTTTAGGGGAAAGCTGGATCTGATGGCTTCTACGTGATTCAAAGTCATCTACTTGCCTTATAAATTGCCCCTCAGCCCTTTTTCAGAACACTGTTTCTGCCCAGAGAACAGAATGCTTTAAAAAGGAAGGCTAGTCACGTATTTTGTTATTTTCTGCAAAGCAGTATTAACACATTATAATGTCATTTATGTGTGATTGGTCAGAAGAAAAACTGCCTAGTACATGAACAACTGTTCTACATTTTCTGCTATAAACCTGCAAAATCACTGTATTAAATGAGAATGGTCTCACTGGTTCCCGACAACATTCCAGTGAATGAGGGCCAGGTCCTGAAGCTCTAATAGTAAAAAAGTGAAAAGGCTCACCATCCTCTTCGTTCGGCCAGGCCTCTCCACAGAGAATCTGTCCTGACCATTCTCTCGATGAGCTTTTTCCATAACATGCCATCAGATGTTACTCGGTACCATTCCTTGCACACGAGTTCAGCAGCACATAGTGATTTGGCATCCAGATATGACAGAATGTTCTCAGCAATGTGATCCAAACCCCGAGCTTTTGGCGGGGGAAGGAGGCAAAGAACATAGATGGTAAATGATTTTTTACAAAAGGTCTTTGAAACAAAACAGCATTTATTCTGTTATGAAGGCACATCACTGTCCCTAGTGTGTCCAGTTTCTTTTTCAAACAGAAACTTAGGTCAAATGAGTGTCAATAATTTTTCCATAAGGTTACAGAAATGAACAGTATTTTCTATCTTCCTTTAGATAAGGAAGTTAAAGCTAACATCCAGCAAACCCCCCAAGACATTAAAAATAAAAAGGATTCCAGAAAACAATCCACATCTATCTGTATAGATTTCAGCACTAGGGGATGTTCTATGGATGGCATCTCAAACTCTGTGATTCAGACACCCCCAAATCTCTATATTAGGTCCATTTCTCATTCTGTTTCTATTACTGCTGCAGTTCCAAAGCTGTTCAGTAAAAGAAATATCCTTTAAATGTACTGGGGGAGAGGCACTAAGTCAGAATGTGCTGGGCTATAGAATTTTGGGCATGCAGAAAGAAGAGAAGAAGGAAATACAGATTGGTATAGGAACATCCCAAGAGGAAAGACAGAAAGGAATGTTTAAGTTCAAGGATGAGTTTAATTTCAGATGTTTTAAAAAAACTATATTTGAGAATAGTTGCTGCTATAAAACCTAAACGACAGTACCAAAAAATGAAAATAATCCCAAACCAATAGATAACTTGGTTAGAATTTCAGAGACTATTTTGTAGGATATACAAGAGCAAAACACAGTGGAAGTAGATCTTGAGCTGAGTAAACTAGATGGGCTTCCCAATTACACTTTTCTACCACTCAAATCTATACTGAGGCCTCAGAGGAACAGATCCTATAAAATAGGATGATCTCACTAATAGACCTTTTGGCTGCTGTTCTAATTCACAAGTGAGACAAAAACATTCAAAGTTCTTTCTCTTTACATGTTACATATCAAAGTTTGCTAAAGACTTAAACAGTACCGAAGGATTCCCTCAAACTTGACTCCCTTGGGCACAAACTTAAACAGAACAGAATGCCATATTCCATCTTGTGCCTTTCCCCTGAATCATATGAAGACACACTTGGACGCCATTAGCAACAATCCAAATGTGTTTAAACATTATTGTAATTATAAAGATTGTATGGATATTATCACACTTTTCAGAAGATTTAGAAAAGAAGTGTCAAGTGGATCTTATTTGGCTAGCATCACATTCATATATATATATGTTATAACTTATTGATGACTTACTACCTGCGGGAACTGGTGTTAGATGAAGGAAGCAGTGATCCCTGTGATGGGTACTGTGGTAAAGGTGCACACCTCCTTTGAGGATATGTTCATTGATTTTAGAGACAGGAATAGGGGAGAAGAAGGCAGAATTAATGGGAAGGAGGGAGAAAGAGGGAGACGGAGGGGGAGGGGAAGATGGAGGGGGAGACAGAGGGAAAAGAGGAGAGGGAGGGGGAGGGGGAAGAGGGAGGAGGAGAGGGAGAGGGAGAAACATCAGTTGCCTCCCATACAGGCCCCAGGGACCAAACTGGTAACCTGGGTATGTGTCCTGATAGGGAATCAAACCCAAAACCTTTTGTGTACACGATGACACTCCAAGCAACTGAGTCACCAGGACAGGGCAATCACATTTCATATTTAAGCATAAGCAGATGGAAGCATCCAGCGCCTCATTCTTATTAAAGGAACATGATTATAAGCCAATTAAAATATAAAAATTAGCTCTTCATGCAAAATACAGTGATGATGCAAATCCTGCATCTTTATACTGAAACTTTCTACACCATCAGAAGTTTCCAAAATCCATTCCTGTGCTTTTAATGGCTGCCATCAAATTGCTCCTGATCTTTCACAATGTCCCTATAATAACTCTTTGGAAGTAATTTCACCTAACACTCCAAACAAACCCATTACATTAATGGATTACAGGCATTTTTTGAAGTAGTTTGGTTTACTAAATGTAGCCAGATGGTATAGGTTTATAAGTTAAAATGGTTGTAAAGCATTAGACTGATGATTTAATATCTTATAAAGTGGTCAGCAGATACACACCAGGAATCACTATTAGGGAAAGGGATACAATGGTCTAATCAACTCCTGTTCAATTCGTAGTGGTACATGCCTGAGATAGTAACATCTCTCAGTGAAGGGGGAGAGCACAGGAATGAGGTACACACAGGCTGTTCGCACAGAAAACTGCTTGCCTGTGGCTAAAACAAAATCCAATGAGTGAAGAGGTGGCAGAAATCTATTCTATTTAACAAAAGATACAGGTACAAATTCAGCTTTAAAATGATTATTTCTAATTTATAAACATGCATTTCTTTTGTTTTAAAGGGAAATTTAAAATGCAATTTTGGAAAAACAAAAAATTTTTAAAAAGTTATAATTGGCAAAGATTAAGCAAGTGGTAATAAGCATTTTTGGGGAGGGTGTAAGTTGGTATATTTTTCTTAGAGGATAGTTTGGTACATGTGATAAAAGCTTTAAAATGTTCATATGTTTGTGTGTGTATACATATATATGACTGTGTGTATATATATATATTATTATTACAATAGGTATTTATTACTGTGCACAGTGAGATTGTAAAGCCTGGAATTTACATATTTAATGTCACAACAAGGCTGCTGAGATACCTTTTTCTAAAATACTCAAAAATGTTTCTTTTTCATTCCTACAATTTAAATATTCTGTTGATAAACTCTCTTAGAAATCCAAAGGCAAGTATATAGGTTAACATATCTTGAAACTAAGATACATCTCAAACCAGATAATGCTTCAGAAAAGATGTTACTTGAACCAGTGTGTGGGTAAACAGGGTGGGTAGAAGAGCATGATAGGGAGAAGATAAGGAAAAGAGCAGTTTCTATCTTGAGAATTTGATTTTTTTTTTGTATTTATATTCCAAGAAGGTACGATTAAAGGACTCAGTTTGTAAAAATGAAGCCAAAAAAAACTTAAAAAGATGTATAGCTAAGATCCAATACTATTACCATTGTAACATATCTTCCAGGCAAATTAATGGCTCACAAACACCCGTAGACATACCTGGCAGAGCAGTTATGAAATCCCTCTGCAGCATAGGTTTAAGGTACGAGTTTATGTGCCCATGTTGGTAATGACACATTTGGGATATAAGATGTTCCACAAATTCCACTTGATCGGACTCTGACCACTGCTCAAAATATTTGACACACAGTTCCTTTTCTTTCTCATAGCTTGCCGAGAGTTTCCGTTGCTTGGGCACAATCATACTGGAAGTGCCATTGGCAAGTTTTGTCTGTAGAAAGGGTGGATTAAAAACACACACACATAACAGTAAGTATTGAAAATGAGGGAAATATATAATTTGTTGGTCTTGCATGCTATGTTATGTCTATATGATAGAGCTCACTGTTATACTTACTAATTGAATATTTGTGAACAGTAATTACAAGGAAAGACACAGTAATACCATAGTAAGTCGGTAAATTGGGAATATTGCTGGATGATTAGGCATCCATTTCCAAACGTTCATAGGAAGACATTATTTGGGGATATATATAGATGAAAACCAAAAGCTGAAAGCATGTTGTTACTATTACTAGCAAGCCAAGAAGGCTAACTTCCTTTTTCTTTTGCCAGGCAGAGGAATTTGGACCTAATTCTGCAGAAAATGGTTCACCAGCAAAGCTTCTTGGATAAGTAGAAAATGCAAAAAATGGCTTTGCAGTTAGAGCAGAAGTGGCACACAGCTTTGCACTGAGGTGCTGTAGGATGGAAGGCTGATGAAAATAACTAAGAGCAAGTTCTGTCTTCACTTCTGTTGGGGATGTAGGCTGGGTTAGCTCCTTATTTTCATTCTTCCATTGATTTTTCCTATTTTCTTTAAGGCTTATATAAAACCTTTTTATTCAGTTTTAAAATACATTAATTTATAATTTGCTTCTTGTATATATCAGTTACTAGACATTTATACAATTACTGACAACGTATTTTTTAATAGTCAAATAAGAAATCCTCCATGCAAAGAAAGGCCAATGACTAATTTGAGACTATGGTACCTTTGGAGCTAAAGCTCAAATAACATTTATATGCTTCATCTACTCTCCCCCGCCCCCCCACCCCCCCAAAAATCCCATCTCCACTGTCATCAAAATTAAATGCCATAAAGTCTTTTTTTTTATTAATTGGTTCAGTCAGTAAATATTAAGCAAGCATTTACAACACGCCAAACATTGTCCTAGGTGCTAGGAATACAACATTGAACAAAAATAACAATCTATCATTGGGGGAACTTATGTTACAGCAAGTTAAAAACAACCAAATAAATAGAAAATATAATGTCTACAGTGCTATGAGAAAACTAAAGCAGGATAAGGGGATAGGCAAAATTATATGATGGTCCCAAGAAGCTTGGCTACTGGTGTACACGCATCTTTCCGTTTTTCAAACAAACATGTAGATACTGCTGTGATTTAATTAAGGTCCCAAATTAGTTGACCTTAAGGTTGGGAGATTTACTCTGGTGGGTCTGATCTAATCAAATGAGCTCTGTAAAAGCAGAGTTGGTGGCAGAAGAGGAAGGAGACCATGGCAAGGGATGCAGGCAGCCTCCAAGAGCTGACAGCCAGTAAAGAAATGGGGATCTCAACCCTACAAAGGCAAGAAACTGAATTCTGCTAACAACAATGAGCGAAGAAGAGAATTTCCCCCCAGAGCCTCTGGATGGGAACTGGCCAACCCTTGATAGATTTTTTTTTTAAATCCTCACCCAAGGATATTTTTTTCATTGATTTCCAGACTCACATATAGTCAGTTGATTTTTGAGAAAGATACTAAGATAATTCAATCAGGAAAGGATAGTCTTCTCAACAAATGATGCTGAAACAACTGGATATCTGTTTAGAAAAATGAACTTGCTCTTTACTTTAGATCACAAACAAAAATTGACTTAAGTGGATTCTGGATTTATATGTAGAACTTCTAGAAAAAATATAAGAGGAAATCTTGTTGCTAATTTAGTCTCAAATTAGTCATTGGCCTTTCTTTACCACATAGATAAGTCAGTATGTGGTAAAATTTTAAATTTCTGGTTCAAAAAAAACAGTTAAGAAAATAAAAATTCAAATCATAAACTATGAGAAAATATTCGCAATATATGTATTTGATAAAGAACTTGTATCTAAAAATATATAAGGAACTCCCAGAACTCAATAAGAAAACAAATAACCCTTTTTCTTTAAGTAAAGGCAAAGACTTGGAGAGACATTTAACAAAAAAGACCCAGGGATGGCCAATGAGCACATGAACATCATTATGACTAGAAAACACAAATAAAATCACAAGACACCACTACAAACTAGTAGGGCTAAAAGTAAAGAGACTGACTATACCAAGTATTGGCAAGAATGAGGAGCAATTGGGTCTCTCATACATTGCTGGCAGTAATGTTTACTGGTACAACTACTTCAGAAAAACTGATTGACAGTTTCTTATAAAGTGAAACATACTTATTACATGAGCCAGCAATTCCACTCCTGGGTACTTATTCCTCCAAATAAAAACATATTTCCACACAAAACACTTGTACATGAATTTTCATAGCTGCTTATGAATAAGAGTCCCAAACAGAAAAAATCCCACTGTCCATCAAGAGCTGAACTGATAAAGTTACAGATGCACACAATGACAAGGATAAATCTCAAACACATGCTGAACAAAAGAAGCCAGGCACAAAAGAGTACATACTTTATGATTCTCTTTATATGAAACTCTAAGGATAACAAATCTAATTTATAATAATGAAAACAAATCAGTGGTAGCATGGGGCTGAATGTGGGGGTGGGACAGACAGAGTTAAGGGCAGAAGAGTTTTGGGGGCAATGAAAATGTTCTACAGTTGTTACACAGGTGTATACAGTTGCCAAAATTCATCAAACTGTATACTTTCAATAGGTGTATTTTATTTATGTAAGTTACCTTAATAAAATTGATTTTAAAACTTCTAAGGATAGGGTATGTCTAAGGATAAATGCCACTGTAATATTAATTTCATTTGTAATGAAGATATTACATTTGTAGAGATAACAAAGGTAAAGGCCTTTGTCATCAACCCTCTTCCTTCTATCATTCTCCCACACAGATTTTTCTACTAATGTCTGAAGTAAATGCAGCAAAATTTCAATTTGAGAACCTTTAAAAATCCACAAGGGTACAGTGAAAAAGTTCACTTATTAAAAACCCAAAAGGTTGTATATTAGAGTGTGTGGGAGAGAGGGTAATGGTTATTGGTGGCAACAGAATTGATTTGGCCTTCCCAACAAAAGCCCAATGACTCAACCACTACTGTTCAAATGTCTAGGAAAGCTGACAAACAACCTCAGCTTAATGGTAACACTAACTTTCTGCCACCCCTGCACATCTCCTTTTCTGCTTTTCTGTTAACAATGAACAGTTATCTCCAAAAGAAAGAAGCAAGAAGCTGTCAGGTGACAAGCACACAAAATGAAAGAAAAGTATTTATATGACTGTCCACAGCTCAGTCCTCAAAGGCTAAGGGCTAGCATTCCCCACCCACGCCTCCTCCTCCCCACCCCCGAAGACATAGTACATGCATCACTTTCAAAATTACCATAAATTTCTCTGAAGCTGCCTCAAGGGCCAGGATAGAAAAATACACTCTTGCAGACACCAACTAGTCTAACCAACACACCACTGTAATATTAAGTGTGCTGACTTTGCTACCCGTATTGGTTGGAAGATACAGCACGGACTGGTTAAACTTGATGGTAAAAATGACAGATGTTTCTAATTTGCATGCAAAACCTCCTTTATTTAACCACTGAAAAAGGGCATGGTAAGTAGAGAAGGAAAATGTTCCAGACATAGGACACTATTTGCAATTAGGGGAGCAAGGCCTAGGTAAACAGTAATATTTACGACTAGAGAGATGCAAATGATATTTAAGGATTCTGTTTGGCTTTAAGAAGGGCTTTGAAGAAAGAATGGCATTGAAACCTATAGTAGAGGGAAGAAGATATAATGATTAATAGGATGAATCAATATAAGATAAAATGGGCAAGGGTTGTGCTGGGGGTAAGGCTATATGTTTCTCTCATGAAACTTTAGAGTTATCAAGCAACCAACAGACATTTATTGAGTGACTAATCTGTGCTGGGCATTTTTCTAGGTGCTAGGGAAACTGTAGAGAAGAGGTACACAAAGTTTCTTTACCTTCTCTGGGGAAGGATAGAGGCAGAATATATAATAAATATATTAATTCCAGAAACCAGTAAGTATTGTGAAGAAAACAAAAGATGGTAACATAAAATAGGGAGTGAGTAGTACAGCATACTTTAACTGAGGTGGTCATGAAATGATGCTGAAGGAGATAACTGAATGATGCTGAAATCTAAATGTAAGTCAGTCTTCTGAAGATCTGGGGAAAGGCCTTCCAACAGAAGAAAGAGCAAATCTAAGCTGTGTTCAAGTGAAAGACAGAAAGAAGGCTAGTACCGCTGGGACAGTGAATGAGGGGGCACTGGTGGGAAACGAGGCCATGAGGTGGCCTGGGGCCGGATCATATAAGACCTTCTGGGCCTCAGTAAGGAGTATGGATTTCATCCTAAGTGTAAAGGAGAGCCCCTGAGGTTTTGAAGTAGTCAAATATAACATCATCTGATTTACGCTTTAGAAATATTTACTCTAGCGGCCACACAGAACATGGTGGTGAGGGCTGGAAGGTGGGAAGAGGATAACAAGAACAAGCTGTGAGAGCAGAGGCAGGAAGACCAATCGGAAGTCTCATAAAATACTCCTGCACGTGGTGATAGTGGCTAAAATTAGAAAATTAGAAGAAAGGTATTTTACCCTCACACGAGAGGAAGAGAGAGAGCCTGTTGAGAATATAAGTACAGGTTATAATACACATTTATTTCAGTATAATGATTTACTGATCCTTCAAATATTTAATCTGATACATTAACTTGAATGGGGATTGAACCAGGGTTCTTGCTCCTGCAGCCAGGAGAAACAAGAGTCTTGAGGCAGAAGGGGGGATTTAAAAAGAAAAAGTGTTTATTGATTCTAGAGAGAGAGAGGAAGGGAGAGAAACACCGATGAAAGAAACACAGATTGGTTCAGCTGCCTCTGGCATGCCCCCGACGGGGGACCAAGCCCACCTGGTAAACTCTTGGTGCAAAAGATGATGCCCAACCAACTAAGCCATACTGGCCAGGGCAGAAGGGAGGATTTTTAAAGGTCTGCACTATACACTCTATTGGCTATTGCCAGGCTTTA